TTTTTTTTTTTTTTTTTTTTTTTTTAATGCTGCAACTGGGAGCCTGTACCTTAGCATCTTCAGATTTTCTAAACATTATTTGTCATATTTGCACACATAAGGTTGAGAAATAATTTTTAAAAAATATGGGAAAATTAAAACCCATTTTGTCCCTATTCTCAAGAATCACTGTATTTTATTTTGTTTTTACTTTTAACACAAAGGTAAAAATCAACAACAAAAAAACAATCCTAACCCAGAGGACTCATGGCTCTATCAATGACAGCAAGTCATCCAGAAAGGCAGCCCCAGACATGATGCAACCACCACCATGTTTGACTGTATTCAGTTTATTGTAGTTTTTTCTATAATTCACAGCAAAGGGAGTCCACCTTAAACATCAGTCCAATTCAGTGACATGCATTCCAATTGATCCTAGTTATCAATCAGTGCTTTAAACTTAGTTTATCGTCCAAATTAGTTAAAAAAAAACTTCTAAGAAAACCCAGAAGAACATTGAGTCATTGACTTGCAGCATTCACTCCTCCTGGATGTAGTGACAGCAGATGTGCACCTAAAAATATCTCATAATTTTGGTTATTTTAGATTTTTTTAAACATTTTCATATAGAATGTATCCTATTTGTTATTATTCTTTGTTTGCATTTTGGCATGTTATTGTTTTTCTGAATTTAGTGCTTTTTTGAGGATGAGATGGGATACGTAGTGGCGCAGCGGAACCTTTGTTTTGGGGATTTTGGTTCCGTGTTGGTTTCGGTCGGACTTCCTGTTTCCCTTAGACGCAGGCTGGATGCTAAAGGCAACACTTCGGTCGTCATTGCTGAATCCTGTTTTGCTACTTTTCAGATGAGTACACTATAAAAACACTCAGTTTCCATCTCCTGAATGGCCAATCTGTATTAAATACCGTAACTTTATTGGCACTCAGGTAGAGAAGAAGCGCAGAGACTGTTTTTACCAATCATACGTTCAATCAGGACGCAGAACACTGTGAAAAAGAAACTGCACAAAAAAATCTGCGAAGCAGCGAAACCGTGAAAGGTGAACCGAGTTACAGCGAGGGATCACTGTATATGAAATAATTTATAAAAAGCAACTGAGTAATTTGTAGAATGGCTGCATATCTGAGTTTATCTGGGACTTCATTCTCATGTCTCATGATGCCTCAGCATTGAGGAGGTGGATTTATTTAAATAAGACAGTTTAGTCAAACATATGCGACACTTAACCTGCAGAACATAATATGAAAGTAAACTAAGAGTCAATTTCAGCTGAATTTGGATTCAGATAGATCAAGTAGAAACTGACAAGAACTGGATGAAACAACAAAATAAAAACAAATTTATTTTCCAGACAAAACGGTCCCACACTGAGGAAACCTTTCCTTTGAAGCTGCTCCATAGTTGATGCTGTAAAAGATTAAGAATGCTTTTGACAAATTCGCTTCCTTATAAACACAGTTTGGCGTGTTAATGTCATTTGGAAACAGTTCCTGTATCGGTCACGTGACTTGCTGAAACCAACACGCTCACCGACACGGTTTGGTCTGCGGGCTGGACACATGCACATCGGTGTTGCCGGACCCATCACTACTTGTGAGTAAGAAAGGAAACATGGTTTATAAAACAAAGGTAACTTCCCTGCAACAGGACGAAACCTCCAGCAGAACCAGAACCCGGCTCAGTACCAGCAGCCATCTGGGACGGCCGACTGGAGGTTTGAGAAGATGGAGCAGAGACACAAACAGAAAACTGATCTCCAGCTGTCACCAGGTGAGAGGCGGGTTCCACCTGGACCAGCAGCCATGCCCACACACCTCAGGTAGTTAGAGAGCACTTAGCCTAACACTCATGGTTTTAACTGTGGGAGTCAGTCTAAATGTCAGATGGAGGAATTAAAAACAAACTTTCTAGAAGTATTTTAATTGGTTTATTCATCTTCCAGCTGAACTCAAAAGCTGGAGGAACAACAAAGTGTTGAGCATTATAAGAAAGGTCATTCTGTAGGTTTCCAAAAAGAATAGCTCTGAACAGCCGATACGGTTCTACACCAACGGCTCTATAGAGATGTGTGCTTAATTTTTATTATCCCTCACAGCAAAAACCAAATCCATCATCCGCCCGTCCCTGCTCGGCTTTAAGCACCACCTGGTCGTGGAACACAGCGATTAAATCTCTCCTGTTATTGGTTTTTCTCTCTCCTTGCTGCAAGTCTCATTTAGTGTTTAACTTCTCTGTCTGGCAGCTACAAAACACTCATTTAGCGCTCTGGGTTTCTTGTTGTTACTGCCATGTGTCAGAAGAGGAAAGAGCAGAACGATGCACCAGTCATTACTCTCCACTTTTAACAGGGACATTTCCTTCCATCCGACTCTTGCATCCCAACATATCTATTTCCTGTGGTATTTCTGAGGTATTCTGCAGGTTTTTATGTGTTTCTATCTCCTGTTTGTTGGGCGGCTGGCTCTGTGAGGATAACTTAAAAGGTTTTCCATTCATAGAAGTGTTGCTGTGGAAACAAAAGGGTGTAGGAAACCATATAAAACTGCAAACAGTGAAAACTGAAACCATCTGCTGGGACTTTCCAAAATGTGGTTGAAGAAAAGGATTTCCATTCTGAAATTCCAGAGCTTTATGCTAAATTATGGTTGCCCAAATAAAAAAGGAGGTATGCAATAAATAACTATTGGAAGGCAAAGTCAGGCCACCGTGTTTTAACATCTACATATCTTTTTAAATGGTTCCATAAAACTTTATCTATTCTTCATTGTGCCAGATCAGTTTCCCTCTGATATCGGAGTTAAAGTTGAGAATATGGAGGCATGATTTTATCTTATAATAAACCTGATGGATTATTACTGAGTACTTTTGGACAGGGATGGAAATGTCTAAGTGCTGCATGTTTGGATACCCAGCTGCCAGCAATGCTTTTGTGTGCAATCTTTAGAAATAAACTTGGCAGTGGCGGTTCTAATTCAGAGTTACCAGGGTTGGCCAGAAGGTTTTCCATGAGGGAACAGAACAAAATAATGGAAACAGGAAAATATTTCATCGTTTTAATCCATTAAATGACCCAAAGAGTCACTCTGGCTCTGGATGTAGCAGATAAAACTTGATCCTCTCAGAATGGCTGAAGCTAAAAGAGCAGCACTTTCATTTTTAGATAATTGTTCAAATAAAACTGTCAAGGTAAAAAAATTAAATGGGTCCAAGAAAACAAAAATATTTCAAAATGGTATAAATTCTGATAAATAACTCAACTATTATTCTGAGTTACAAATATTAGAATTCAAAGGTAGTGCTTATGAAGCAGAGTTACAAAATTATACACTGTTTTTCCATTTCATTAGGAACTAATCCTGCACATTTAGTGTTCAGTTTGATGAACTTACTGAATGACCTCTAAGACGTCTGTTTGTTCAAATCCCATCAAATGTACCATCTGTAGTTCTTCAGTAATCTTTAAAAAACACATAAAACTTTAGAATAAATGAAAAATTGCAGGTCTGTAATTTAGGACTGGATTTTATTCACTGCACCGAGTTTCATGTCTGTTAAATTAAATGTTGATTATGAAGTTAGTAGCTTTTTAAAAAATTTATTTGCAATCCTGCCTCATTACACTTAGACCTTCACCACTAATAAGCAGACGAGCATGCCAAGGATAATAGCAGCTTCAATCTATGATGCAGTTGCATTAGATTATAGACGAATCGTATTTCATTTCACAATCCAAGTTGATCATCAGGGTGATGCTAACATGAAGATGTTTATTTCTTAAAACAGATTCAGAAACTTTAATTTTACTTTGATTTATCAAGATTCTTCTTTCCTTTTGCTTCGAGGTAATTTATGTGCAAAAGCACCAATTAAATCTTACAGTAAGATATTACTTTTCTTACAAACATGACGTGAAATACTGTTTGGCTTTTAGTTAAATTGGACGTGTTTATGTGCAATTATCAATAAATATCAGCCATTTTCCAGAGCATACAATCAGACGTAATCTGGTCCCCTGCCAGCATGCCTAGGTGGGCCCCATATGGGAGAAAGGTGGGCAGACATATGGGTCCCGTATGGGTTTGTCCGCGGGCTCCACGGTGGCCCCATATGGGTTTGCCCATGTAGGGCCCACATAGGCTGTGGCCCTACATGGGCAAACCCATATGGGACCCATATGGGACCCACCTAGGCAGGCTGGCAGGGACCCAAATCATATTTTAGGCAGGTTTGTTTAAGCAGCAGCTCATCAGTCGTGTTAAGTCGAGCTGAAGTTGAGCTGTTCACATGTTGATGTTAGAAAACTGCAGACATAATTATCAAATTAAATTTTCAAATATCAAATTATCAAATATTCACCAAAGGGATGCTGTTAATAAAAGGTTTGTTTTTTTTTTACTTCTAAAAAGGAAATGAAATTATTTATTTGCATTTTTATATGTTTTTAATATTGTATAAAATAATCTTAAGGGATTAAATAAAATATCTGCAGAATTTTATTTTTATTTTTAATTAATAGAATAATAATATTGTGAACTTAAATATTGGGTTTTCGTTATCTGCAGGCTGAAAAATAAACACATTTAACAGAACTAAAGGTTCAGGAATGACTGACTTTTCAGTAAAATCCTAATTTATTGGTTATGTCTGTTTTTCTGCAGATGAATCCTGATAAGCTTATTGATCTCTTTTCCACTCACATGATTGCATTTTTGGGCTCATAATGAGGATGGATTGCTGTGAAATTTGGTTCCAGAAGATAAATCCTGATTAAATTAGTGATCCTTTAACTTCTTCAGGCTGACTGGGATAAACTGATGAAAAGCTCTGAAATAATGAGTTAAATGCTGCGATGTGTCACAACAGCTACATGGGAACGGTGATGCCTGTCAGCCTCATTTCAAAAGTTGACTCTTGATAAACGATTCAGTTGAGAATCAGATTGGAGGAAAAGGGAAATCAGAATAAACAACAGTTTTCTTTAGCAGCCATTTTGTTTCCATTGTTATTGTAGTAACATGACAATAAAAACAGGAAGAATCCAAACCTGCCTTGTATCCCAGCCAAAGCTGCTTTACCTGTGTCTAACACATTTTAGTTTAAGGTCCTAATAACAATAAAGCCGAAGTGCATGCTGGGTCGTTTCCCTGCACACAGCAGTCATCAGCATTCATGTCAGGAAATCACAAGGCTGGGAATGTCTCACACTATCGCAGCTCAGAAAGGAAAGGACAGGTTTCTTTCTGGGTTTAATTCTGTCTCTAAGTATAAAGAAAGAGGAGAAAGGCGGTTGTGTGCTGGAGGAACGGCTGTGACCCTGCCACTGATCGCCTGCAGAGAATCAAAGTGTATAAGCTGCTGAGGAGATAACAGCGACGGAAAAGACGGATTAAAACAAACATGGACCCAGGAAAGAGACACGGGGGAGCTTTAGGAAAACACATCCAGCCGGTTTTGTTACGGCAGACTGAGATGTGGTTCTGTCACCGCCGAGCTGGACCGCTGGTTCTGCTGGCCCACCGGCGCTTACAGCCCCCTCAGGCCTGATCGTCCATGTTTTACTGCCACATTCTGCACAGCTCCGGCTGTAGGGTCAGGCTGGGACAGTCAGTTCCCTCATAAAGGAGCCGTGCCTCCCTTTATATACCATGTGTTGCATATCGAAGCCAAAGCTTATTTCTCTGATCACCGAAGCCATTAGTGGGATAATTACATTTCCTTATCCTTCATTTATACTCATTTAAGTTTTAATTGCTTCTTTGAAGGAAAGCTTTACAATATAATTAATTTCTGAATTATCTATAGACTTTAATATCAGAAAGTTTCCTTCACAACTTTCTAGTTTTTTTTTTTTTGTTTTGTTTTTTTTTTTAATCCAAGACAAAAAAATAGAAATACTACACTCGAAATGTTTAGGGATTTTCTTGGGGTCAATTTTTTTTTAAACAACAAATGCAGAATTGTGAAAAGAATGAAATTTAATCAAATACCTGATAGATTAGAAATATTTACCTTTAAAAGTGCCATGTTATACTTTAATACCAAGATTTAAAGATATCAGATTAAAAAAACCTAAATTATTTACTTATCTCATTTAAAATGCTGCTTAAAAACTGGCTCTTACAAAGTTCAAAATGTCAACATTGATTATATATACAGATGTATAAATTTTCAGATTGTTTAATGCATTTCTTATTCTATAGTGTTATTTAGTAGTTTTTAATCTTGGTGTTTGTTGTTTTACCTTCGACCTTCCAGTCGGACTGGAGGCTGAAATTAGCCTCCAGGTTGTGACATTTCTTGTTTCTTCAGGATTATTTTTCTCATCCACATTGTTTGTATTTAATGTCATTTTGCCTCTCAGACCTTCCTCAGTGTTTCAGTTGACAGTCATTGTGCATTTAAAGGTTCAACCAGTTTTTTCTTTACTTTTATTTTACCTATTATGTAACCAAGAAAAGCCTTATTTAGTTTTAAAATCCTTTAACAATAGAGTCCTGTGGCGGAAACATTTTCCTGACAGAAAAAGCAACACAAACATTCAAACTGAGATAAATAAGAATCAGGCGATGATGTGATTCTGCCTTCATCCTGTCTGAGGTCGAGTCCTTCACAGCCATTACCGACTCCGTTACTGCAGTGGGGCCCTCGGCATGTTTAATGCTCTGCTGCTGCGAACACTGGAGCTGTACTGACCTTTTAAACTCCTCATAAACATCTTTATATCGTTAATGGCTTCACCAGGCTTGTAGAGCTGCTTGACTTTTCAGCCACCGTCACTCTGAAGAACCGCCAGCATCAGGGATGTTCTGCAGAATCTAACATGGATTCTAAATATCCTACGGAAAAACATTTAGAATCTTTAGCGCATGACTTTTCCATTTTCATTAGAATCAGACATTTTTGACCTTAAATTTAAAATACTGAATTTTTATTATTATGTCTATGATTTTTGTTTTACTTTAAATTTACCACCAAAACTGTCCCATTTAGTCAGAAAGCTTTTAGCTAATCATATTCCTCCTCTGGTCATGTGACACCAGGTTGCTCTGTGTTTTCTGTTTTATATTGTTCCTCATGTCGAAGAACGCTTTGGGCAGGGGGCGCTACTTTTGCAAAGTAGGTCATCAAACAAAGGAAGTTTAAAAAAAAAAGTGTAGTTGAATTTAGTTGTTATTCATCCCTCCTTTAAAGAAAAGAAAAATAAAACATGACTGCAGATGAACATTGATAACTGACACAGTTCTGCTTCTGCCTCCTACTAAATAAATGAATGTTTTCAAGAAGGTGAGCTGTAATTTTTCAACTGCTTCAGGGTGACATCATCAGTCACCCAAAGTCAAACAGAAAACCACGAACACCATTGATAGAGATAAGGAGTGGGAGCCTGTGGAGCATCTGACAGCATTGTTCATGTTGACACTTGGAGTGAAAACATCGTGTCACATTTTTCTGACACGTCACAAACAGAATCCACTGAAGAGACCGATAAGTCACAGACAGAAAAACTGAACTTCAGAAATATCTATTTTCTCTTTGAAGAAATAAAACTCAAAAGATTAGGATTTATTTGATTCTTCTTGAAATTACAGCATGTCTGTCTGTCTGTCCCAGAAGCCATAGAGTTTTTTATTAAAAAAGTTCAGTTCCTCAGAGCTTTGCAAAAACTACTTTGAACTTTTGTGACATTTTGTTAAAGCCTCAAACTTCAGAGTATTTTATTGGGATTTTATGTGTCAGACTGGAATAACTGGAGTGGGAGGAAAGTGATACATAGATTTTCCAATAAAAAAAAATACCTTTACACTCAGTTTGACGGAGTAAACCTGTTTACAATTTAATCTCAGTGTATACTTTAGCTTTCTAATTTGAGAGAGCATCCATGAACCTGGAGCTGTAATTGTAGTTATATTTAGCTACCTTGACTTGAGAACTGCATACAAATAAATGCCTTCAGCTAAAATAAGAAAAGTTTAAAGAAAACCACATTCCTTCCATTCTGCCATTATGCACTGCTTTCACACTATCACAAAAAAAAAACAAAAAAAACAATGAAATACAACATTTAGTTGGGTGGAGCATAGCTTAGCTTAGCATAGACCTACAAATGAAGGCTAGTAGTCCTTGAGGCAGCCTGCAGGGTTCGATTCCTGCCTCATTACTGTGACTGAATATCACTTGAGCCACAATAATTCTCATTAAAATAAATAAACTAGGTTAATATTTAGCACCTTTGAATTATTTATGCATCCTGACTTATCTTTTTACCCTAATCAACATGATGGCTTTCCAACCAAATGCTACCGTTGTGACCTTTCATTGTTTCTGAGAACCCAAACACTGATTTATGTTTATTGGAAGGAAACCTACAGGAACGAAATCAAAACATGAAGGAAACAACAGGAGGCGCCAGAGACGCTTTGGAAACCTGACGTGACACCAGAACTACCAAACAGAACTGCAGCAGGATCAGGCAAGGACCGCCTGAAACAGAGACGCTTCAGTGTTGGGGAGGATGATTACTGGCACCAGAAACAGGTGAGTCTGTAACTCACTGCAGCCGAGTAGAGACATGAACTCAGGTAGAGGGAAAATAACTGCACTAGAAATAATATGATAAACCAAAAACATGCATGGGGGAATCAGTTTTATATGGGTTTTGTTAAAATTAATAATCCAGTTCAAGTACAAGCTGGTGCTGTCCTCTGTATTATTAATAATCATAAGTGTTCAGTTTACATCAGGGGTGTCAAACTCAATTTCACCGAGGGCCACTTCAGCATATTGGCCCCCCTCAAC